TTTTTTCTCTCTCTGCTTATATATATTTATCTATATTTTAGAGCACACGAGATTGATATACCACATCGCCCCCCACATCATGTCATATATATATATATATATATATATATATATATATATATATATATATATATATATATATATATATATATATATATATATATATATATATATAATTTAAGTATATGAGAAAAAAAAGTTCCTCAAATCTATATAAATAAAATATGTTAAAGATTTATTAAGAAGATTTTATATGACAGCTTGTAAGTTAATGAATACTATAATAAATACAAATGGTAATTGAAAAAACTAAATAAGAAATAGTATAGAAGTTTAATTGAAGGATTAATTTATCTCATATATTTAAGGTCTGATATTATATTTATGATTAATTTATTATCTAGATTGTTATAAGTTATAGAGAGTTTTTATATATAGAGAACTCTCAATTATAAAATCTGTTATAAGTTATATTCTTATATTGATAGTGATTGGGTTGGTTGCGGAGATGAGAGAAAAAATAATTTAAGATATATTGTAAGGCTTGGCTGAATGGTTATTTCATAGATAATAAAAAAATAAAAAAAATTATTCTCTCAAAATTAGATTGTGGTTATAAGTATGATATTTCAAACAATTTAACTTCAAAAAAATTTAGTAAAAAAAAAAAAAAAAGATGAACCAATTAAAATATACAACTGTAACAAGTTTATTAATGCAATAACGAAGAATCCTATCCTTTTATAGACGTATCAAACACATTAAAATTTAATCACTTTCATTCGTGAAACTATTGGAGGATCAGTCATCTTTATAAAAACTTTAATATTTTTAGTTTTAAAAAATAATTTTAAATTATAATTATTTTGAATTAAGAGATATGATAAAATTAATTCAAATAGTTATGACTACATGCGAGAAAAGATAATAATTTAGATTAAGATAAATGGATGAGTGGTTTGTGCAGGATGATAAGGTTTGTTGGGTATGAGAGATTTTTTTATTTCAAAAAAATTATAATTTATCTTTTTGCTATTGTAAATATTGTGCTTTTGGATGAGTTCAAATATATAAATTGAAAAGCAGTCTTATTTTTTATTATCTTTTTCTTTTTTTCTGAAATTCTAATATGCACCGAACACAAATGACATCTCAAATTGTCTCCTCTGTTAGTGTATCATCGAGGCACATCATGATGAGATACGAAAGCTAAGAAAGCTACTTAGATATGAAATAAATAGGAGCTCAATTACAAACTTTCATATGAAAGACCTCCTGCAACAGATATTAGGATAAAAATTTTAAATTTATTTTATGACATGCTTTCTTATTAACATTTATCTTCTCCTATAAAAAAAACTAATTTTTATTATTCAATCTACGCAGATGTGAGATTTTCAGATGTGATTTATAGGGGATAATTATATATTATCATTATAATTAATTATGATTAGTATTTCGATCTTTATACTTTAAAAAATAGTATTTAGGTTCGTATACTTACGAAAGTAAAATATTTAACCTTAATTCTTTTTACATTGTTAAGTTTCTTTATGAAAAAAAAGTGCATATGATGCGAATGAAAGAATACAAATATAATTTTATTATATTAAATTATTAATTTTATATAAATTTCTCTGATCGATTTTCTCTTCTCCTAAAGTTAAAAACATAATTTTACTATCTTTAAATTATTAATTTTATATAAACTTACTGCATGACCATGGGTTATAGAGTTATGATTATTTATCACAATGATTAAAATCACAGATTAGTAAGAGAAAATATATCTCAATTTAAGATTTTGATGCCCCCAAAGATATAGTTGAGGCGAGGAGAGTTATCGTTTCACCACAGTCGACACTCTTCGAGGCAGCAATTCGATTAAACCAATCTTACTGACAATGAAGTGGAAGAAGTGGAAGGAGGAGGAGGAGATAATATTGATTTGGGAGTATACGGCCCCACTATCACCTTCATTGGGGGAGCACCCTCCACCTAACTACGCTTCGCATGCGAGAGAAGAAGTTCCAGTTGATCATGGACTCCCCCTTCCGCTAGTTCAAGCGAGGTGTCTACATCAAGATCCACAACATGTTGCATTAATTCCTCCATGTCAAGTGCAAGCTCCTCCCCGTCCCTACGCACCATGTTGTGGATCTTTGGAGATCATCTTAAACCCCAATTCCGCCTCTCCTCTAAAATCCGCACTACCTATGGTGATCGTGAGGATGATGAGAGCTTCGACAAAGAAAATTACGAATATAAAAGTGATGATGTTGAGGAGGAGGACGTGATGCAATTGGTCATCGATCTCTTTGCCTTTGATTAAGAAGTGACAGATGATAATGAAAGGAGGTGCGACGGGTGAGCAAGATTAACAAGGCGACGGGCGACGAGGGGAAAAGGAAATCGATCACGATGAGAAGTTTATATAAAATTAATAATTTAAAAGATAGTAAAATTATGTTTTTATTTTTTTTATTCGTACCCTTTTTTACATGATAACATATGCTTTTTTTTTTCATTGGATGAAATTAACAACGTAAGGATAATTAAGATTAAATATTTTACTTTTAGAAATCTTAATATTATTTTTTAAAATATAAAAATTAGGATACTAATCATAATTAATTATAAGGATAGGGAACATTCATGCGACAACAAATGCTATCCTCGATGGCTACCTCACTAAATATTTAACGATGTCCTCATTTTACCCTAAAATATAATATTTTATTTGTGACTCCAATTATAACTATCGCTTATTTCATTGTTCTTTCCTTATTCTTGCCGATTAATAACCTTTCTTAAAAAAGACAAATGATAAAAATATGATTCAATCTTATGACTTACTATTTAAGATATTAGTCAGCTTCTATCTCACATCTTCAGAACATTTAACCCTATTAAAAAAAATTATTGAATAAGATTTTATACATTACTAGTATATTAGTATCATAGAGTATATATATACACATACATACATATATATATATATATAGGATGATAGTATGAAGCTTTGATCCAATAAGAGTTCAGTGAAAAGCCTAATTGGATTCGACCAAACATGTCGAAGTCTAACCGAATAGGACAAGTGGCTGGTTTGGTTGGACCCAACCACATTGGACTCTTAATACGTCTCCTCACGCAGAGCAATTACGCGATCACACGCATTTCCCGTGACGGCTTGCATCGGTGGGGCCTCCCTTGTGGATCCCACCGTCGCGACTGTTGTCAGGAAGGTGTTGGATTGGGGATCGATGAAGGTGTAGGAAACTATTTCGAAAGAAGTGAGCAATGAGTCCTTTGGTAACACGCCCTCGGTATTCCCACCACCCATATATTTCCTCGCAATCCCCAATTCCATTCCATCGATCGACCGGAAACCCTAATCAAGGTCCGCTCGGTCTCGATTTGGATCTCGTTCTCGGTTTCGGTCTCGGTCTCGGTCTCGATTTGGAGTCGTTTGCTCCCTCGTTCCGTTGATTTGTCCTTGCTCAATCCCGAAGTCAGATCTTGCTTTAGGGTTTCCGGAGCGGCAGCTGATCCATGGCGGATCGGAGCGCGGCGGCTGCGAAGCCCATATGGATGAAGCAGGCAGAGGAGGCTAAGATTAAGAGTGAGGCGGAGAAGGCGGCAGCGGCAAAGGCCGCTTTCGAGGCCACTTTCAAGGCTATGGAGAAGGCCAAGGCGAAGGAGGAGGAGGAGGAATCTTCCGACAGCGACGGGGACGAGCCGGAAGACCTTGCGTCGAAGCCCATCGGCCCCGTGGACCCATCCAAGTGCATCGCCGCTGGCGCTGGGATCGCCGGAGGCACCGCTTGCGCGCCGTGCACCTTCACTGTCGTAACCAAGGATTCTGACAGCCGGAAGATTCCCACCGGTGGAGCCCAGATCAAGGTGAAGATCTCGCCTGGTGTTGGAGTCGGGGGCTCCGATCAAGAGGGTATGGTTAAGGATCAGGGGGACGGGGCGTACGCCGTGACCTATGCAGTGCCCAAGCGCGGGAACTACATGGTGCATGTTGATTGCAACGGGAAGCCAATCATGGGGAGCCCGTTCCCAGTGTTTTTTAGCGCCGGCACAGCCATAGGGGCAACGAGCTTGCCTGCGGTGTCCTCTTACCCCAATATGGTGAATCAGACAATGCCCAACATGCCAAACTATGCAGGCTCAGTATCTGGGGCATTCCCGGGGCTGTTAGGCATGACGCCCGGTGTTGCATCAGGATCCGCCGGAGGAGTGGTTTTGCAGGGGATTGGGGCATCACTGGGAGAGATCTGTCGGGAGTACTTGAATGGACGATGTTCGAAGACTGACTGCAAGCTCAATCACCCACCACATAATCTGCTGATGAGTGCACTAGCAGCAACGTCAACAATGGGGACCTTGAGTCAGGCCCCTATGGCCCCTTCAGCAGCTGCAATGGCTGCTGCTCAAGCAATTGTTGCTGCACGGGCTCTTCAAGCTCATGCTGCTCAGATGCAGGCCCAGTCTGCTGGGGGCTCACCAGGTTTGCTATCCTTCTATATAAGCATACTGTGTTTGATGGTTTAGATTAAGTTTAATGTCTTGTTTAGCAGATCAGCAAAAAGTAGGAGAATTTCTCTGAGACATAATATTTTTATTATGTGCATATTGAGGATGCATTGTTCATGACTTGCTTTTACTTTGGTCATTGCAAACCTTCAATATAGTGGTCATGATGCTGGCATTTCATATATTTGCAGTCATAGAAGCCTTCTGGGAAATTTATTATCAGTATATTATGTAATTTATGATAGAAACTAGCAAATTTATGTAATGCCCCAGATACCTAGCCTGCATAACTTGGCATGTTGGTTCGTCTGATTATGTATTTTTTTATCAGTATATTATGTAATTTATGTAATATCAGTATATTATTATCATTTTGTTTGGTATTGATCTTAATTATTGGCATAACCATGGGGGTTGCACCAATTAAAAGCTAAAGAACTATAATTCCAATAATAATTAACTATGATAGTGTGCAAGGGAGATAGTAGTTAAATTATGTGAAGATTTAGATTAATAATGTAACATGGTTCTCTTGCAGTACTGGGATATGTTCTTACCGAATGTATATCTGGAAGGTTGAATAAGAAGTGTCATGTTCTTCCGAGTATTGGGCATTCACTATTTCTTGCTTCTGTTATGCTTCTTGTGGTCCTAAGCTTAATTGTCAGAAAAATTACTAAAGGATATAATATACTGCAATGTGCTAAGGAAAATGAAAAAAAAGGTATAGGAGTTATTTGGACCTTTTAAAGAAATTGTAAGCAGGATTGAACAATCAGTTTGTGTTTTTTGCAACTATCAATTGTAAGTGTCACATGTGCTCCGAGTGCCTAGTTTAAGAATTTTGGGTTGAACCTTGTGAAAGCCAGCGTCTTGAATGAGTCTGACACGCTTAGCAGTTATGCTAAGTAGGAAGCCAAATTGTTCAGATTGGTTTCATCTTTTTTCATACGCTCTCCAACTTCTGAAATTTTTGTTGCCTTTTGGAACCCATGTATGTTATATCATTTACCTGATATGTGTATTATCATATGAGGATATTATTGGCCCGGCTTTTACATATGCTTATCACTCACGTGTATTGAATGTTTTGCTTTTCCTTGAATTTTATTGAACAATATATTGACTTCTTTAGTTTGTTGATCATAATACAGGCTCATCTGATGAGGCTTCCAAATCTGATGCTTTGAAGAAAACAATACAAGTCAGTAATCTTAGTCCACTTCTTACAGTGGATCATCTCAAACAGCTTTTTGGTTACTGTGGAACTGTTGTTGATTGCACCATCACGGAATCGAAGCACTTTGCTTATATCGAATATACTAAGGCAGAAGAAGCAACTGCAGCTTTGGCACTGAACAACATGGATGTAGGGGGGCGTCCGTTGAATGTTGAGATGGCAAAGTCCCTTCCTTCTAAATCAGCCGTGGGAAATTCCTCATTACCGTTAGTTATGCAGCAAGCGGTTGCTATGCAACAGATGCAATTTCAACAAGCCTTAATGATGCAACAAGCAATGGCCTCGCAACAGGCTGCTGCTCGAGCAGCGACAATGAAATCTGCAACAGAGATGGCATCAGCAAGGGCAGCTGAAATAAGTAAAATGTTAAAAGCAGAAGGTCTAGTTAGTGATGACAAGGAAGTTAAAAGAAAGTCCAGGTTATATATGTTACTATTTTCTTGACTCATTCCATACCATTTATTGATTCTTTGCTTTGGAATTTTTTGTAGGTAAATGAGCATTAAATTGAATGTGACCTTCGAAAATATTTGAGGAGTTTTTAAGTGCTTTTTTCTTTTTTCACTGATAATATATGCTTGTTATTTGACTCGATCTCTTATGGTTAGCTTGTACATTGACCATGATAAATATCTACTTAGCCTCTATCTTGTCTACTATAGCTTATAAGCTTTGACCATCATTTCTGTACTGAGTCTGGTTGGTTCATCATTGCATATTCTGATTCTTTTAGCAAAATAATTCAATTTATCGTTGCTAATGTTTTTGCTTTAACCAGGTCCCCATCTATCCCTCGCCGTGATTCCAAGTCTCGATCAAGGTCACCCATTAAGTATCGAAGAAGCAGGTATTCTCGGTCTCTGTCACCTGCAGTGAGACATTCCCGAGACCAAAGATCAAGATCACCAATAAGATCACGCCATTCACGTCATGATGACAGGTCGTACAGAGTTGATCGTGATCTCTATAGCAGAAGACGAGAAAGGGATAGATCACGTGATCATTACTCTGTCTCAAGGAGAAACAGAAGTAGGAGTTCAAGTCCTCAAAGAAAATCATCTCGAGCTGGATCGAGATCACCCAAGCATCACAGAGAAAGTGCAAGCTCCAGAACAAAGAGGTCATCTCGAGCCGATTCAAGATCGCCAAGGCATCATAAATCAAGTAGATTATCTCCAGTAAATAGTCATCGGTCTTCCTCTCATCGTGGTAGGCATTCTAGATCTAGATCTAGATCCATTGAGCGAAAGCATCATTCAAATGAAAAAGAAGACTCCAGAAAAACCGAAAAGTCAAAGCAAGATTATAAAAGATTGGAGAGAAGTAACGAGTCCTCTAAAGATCCAAAAAGGTCAAGGGACATTAAGGAAGATAAGTCTGCGGCACATTCAACTGGCGGTCCTAAACGAAGGTCCTTGTCACCCAAGGATGAGAGAAGTGCTAATAAGCACAAAAGGTCTAAGCTGGATGATTCAAGTTCTGAAAAAGCTGACACTGTGAACAAGGATCAAAATATAGATGGGGAGTGCTCCGAGTCAATAGGAGATAAGAAGTCTGTGCAGTCTTCAACTTTAAAACAGCACAGAAACTTGGAAGATGGTGATGATGTTAAGCATGCTGAAAAACGATATTCAAGCAGGCATGAGAGTTCAAGATCAAGTCACAGGAAGCACGAAAAAAGTGACTCGGCCACTACGGAGAGAGAACGTCCAACTGTTGAGTCCACACACTTGAGGGATGATAAAAGGTCTTCACATCATTCAAGTTCAAGATCTCACAGAACTTCTCGTCGTTTGGAAGAGGGGTCCCTCAAGGCTGCTATTGACCAGAACAAAGTGGAGAAGCTAAAAGAGGACAACATAAAAACTAGTGGACTCGAAGCTGTCATCACCAAGGAATCTCAAATTTCAGATGACAGCCATGGAAAATCTGACAACTGTTCAAAGTTGGAGCCTCACATGTCAAGTCCCTGTTTGACTGGGGATGAATCTATGAGAAATTCTAAGGCTTCTACTGGAGACACAAATCACATAGAAGGTACTTTCACTGGATTGACAAAAGATTGTAATGTTGAAAACGTGACTTGTAAAGTAAGTTTAATGGTGGGTACTGATGATCATACTGAAAACAAAGAGGCAGAGTTCCAGACTACTGAACTTGAGAATCACAGTTCCATCAAAATTAAGGAGAATGTTGGGCAAGACCCAGCAGATTTAGATGATGATTGCTGGCAAAAAACTGCTGATTTGGCTGCCAAGTATCCTCCATATGTTGATCAGGGATCGGTATACACTAAAAGTGGTATGTCACCTTCTGGAACAGATATTACTGCCAGGAAAAGTAAATACACTGAGTTGAAGGGACCTCAAAGTACCATTCCTGATAAAATAGGAGTTGAAGGAGCACCAAATGTTGATTCCACAAATATTACAAGCATTACTAAAGAATGGTACATTGATCGTGACTACAAACCAGATGAACTGGGTACAAGTCATATGAATCAGCAGTCATCAAACTTAGTTGCTCATGTGGGCTCCCTTTTTGAGGGGCAGATCAATGGTTTAAGCAATAATGAGAAAATAAAAGAGAAAAGTGAAACTGAGGAATACGGCTGTGTACAGACAATTCAGTCAGTACCCCTTGATCATGGGAACCCCAGTGATTCCAAAGAAATTAGAAACGTGGAATCCTCTTCTGCCTTAATGGTCAGAGACCATGGATATTTTTCACAAGATTTATCTAACATGAATGATATTTCTTTCACTAATGAGAACTTGACTGATCAAAATCCAGAGGTAAATTTTGGAGGTCACAGGATGAAGTATGAAGGCAGATGTGGTGAACCACAGAGTGCTGGAGTAGTGGAGATCTCCTCTCTTAACAATCACATGTCCGCTGATAAGGTTGCAGAGTCAAATGAAGATTGGACGACCGCACATTCTTCTGTCCTGGATGCCCCAGCTAGCTCATCATCACCATAGAAGACTTACCACTGGACCTTAACAGAATACAGATGCAGCTATTAGTCTATTACTTGGCTTTTCTTTTTCTGATCCAGGAGTTTTACTTGCAGGAGATGGCGATAATGTCGTTGGAAGAGGTCTCTTTGCCATGGAAGTACTCCCTATGATAATTCAAGATTTGTTCTGTGGAACTATAATGATGAAGCCTTCAAAGGAATGAACTCTATAGTCTTATTATGAGTTTGTGCTGATAAGATGATATCATCTGCAGTTTTAGTGCATCAACCTGCACGTGTTTGTCTCTGCAGGTCTTCAGTACCTGGAACACTTGGGAGCATCGCTGGTAGGTGACTCGTAAATCAAGGATATTATTGTTTCTTTGATAATTATTAGGTTTTGTATTCTTGGATGACTGCAAATTTCAGTGCATATTGTACGACTGGCTTGTCCTGGTTGATGAATTGTTCTATTAAATTAGTTGATTAGCTAGTTATCTCTATGATTGGCAGATATAGTTGTAACTGGAGTTTTGTCCTTAGGCAGTTCAAACACCAATAGCTTCTATGTTACTAGTAAATGCTGTCTGAAGCCTTAAACTTCGTGATTTATTTAGGTCTAGGAGTTTTTGATCTCTGGAAAAAAAATGCAGGGATATCTGCTGTTAGGGTTATTCAGTGATATTCAGGGGATGGATGGAGCATTTTCTATTGATGAGGTGCATCATTTCTTGTTATAGTCTAAAATTTATGTTAATTTCTTTTACTGTTACAATATACGTTGTTCATTTTGTTCATATGGTAATTCTATTTTCCCGTTTCTTTTTTTTTTCTTCTTTTCTTTTCTTCTTTATTTTTGGGTAACAGGACTCCTTGTTGATAGCCCAGTGTAAGTGATCAATGAACGGCACGGTATAGTTGTTGGTCGTCTGAGAACTGTCGAGGCCAAGATCAAAACTAGCGGTGTAGCTTCATGAAACAAGATTCTTTACTTTCCAATCAAGCTTCATGACTTATTTGCAACTGAATACAAGACTGGCTTCATGATAAGCCATTCTGAAGTGTCCAATTAGTTAGTCATACAACTTACTACCGTGGTCCTGTGGTATCCAAAATATGTGCAGGTATCGAAAGAGAATTGCTGCTGGGATAACATGAAAGCAAATTGGGCCATTGTTCCACCGATGCAAGAAAGGTTTGTTTGTAAAGCTTTTAAAGCACAAATTGGAAAATTTTCTCAATGCATTTGTTCTCGGTTTTCGCATCTGGAAATGGTTTTGATTTACACATTGTTTTTTGTATATAGTATGAAAACTTAAAATTTTTATATTCCTTATATTTCTTTTCTCTTTTTTGCCCTTTAAACTTTTCCTTCGTTTTTAATTTTCTTTTGGCTTAGTTATGTACACTTTGCCTGTATTTTCTGAAGGTACATTATTAGGTCGTAGTGTCTGGCGTATGGCTATGAAGCCTACCAAGCCAATATTTTTCTGATTTAAAATTTCTTTTGGCAGCTAAGATTCTGCCCAATTTTGTTTTGTCGAACAAAATGTTTGGGAATCAGGAAACTAGCTACCACTGTTTGTTCAGATCACCCATGCTTGTGCCACACTGCATGCAGAAACTACATTTGTTCGTAGGATGTGGGAAGACACCAGATGATCCGAGTAGGATGGTCTTGCTTCTGATTGTGTTCTTCACTGACCTTTTACGTTTTGCCTTGCATCATAAAATTTCTTGTTTCTCTTCTTTTTCTATATCTCCCTATGCTCATTTTTCCTTTTGAGTTAGGGTCTGCTTTGGATGACTATTATCCTTGGTAAAACTATGATCCTTGGTTAAAGAGAAAGATGCAGAGGATCAGCCAGTTCTCCTGATGGTGCGTGCGTATGAGCTGCTCAACAACCCCACTTGATGGTATTTCTTTTGCACTGACCCAAAACATGTTTCTTGTCTGTTCTCTCTCTCTTTTTTTGTTGTGCAACGGGCTGCTAAGTGAATGTCAAGGCAAGTATAGATCTTTCTTTTTAGTCTTAGGCCTAAAAAGCGAGTATAGATCCTGTACCATATAAAACTTCTGTTAGAATTAGTTTTGGAATCTGTGCAAATTTTACCTTTCTTAACCTTGCAAACCTCTAAGCAAGGGGACCTTGCTCGCTCTTGTTCAGTCAAATCTTCCTTAAACCACCATGTCCATGAAATCTTGTCGGTTCTCAGGCAATTTCCTCTCCATGTTAGTAATCACCTACTACTACAACCACTCTCCACGAACCTGGTTTCGACTACTCTTTCTCAAGAAAACACTCGTTCAACAGAACAACCCATGGTGGTGGTGGCTATTTTGTATATAGATTCTTTTTATCATATTAACATCATCAACGATATGTTCTCCTAGTGATATCTTATGTTCTTCTTGCACGATTATATTTACAAGTCTCTTTTGCGTTTGTTCATATTTTACATGTAATCATATCGTCACTTTTGTTTGGCATTTCACGGTTTTGTTGTTTCTTATTTTTATCTTTTTGTAGTCGGAATTATATCAGTAGCACTGTGTGTTTGTTTATGCAGTATGGCCGCCGATGCATTCAGCTTCCGAAGCCACGCACAAGTTTTCTTGAAAGCCTTTTGCGCGTGTTGCTTTTATTTCAAGAAACATTTACTTGATTCCTTTCACTTCTTATTTTTTAATTGTGCAACTTTAGAGGTGCAGTTTATGAATTACAAGGAAGTATTAACTTAGAAATAATTACCTATTCTCAGAATCATCCTTTCCAAGTAAGGTTTCTCTTTAGTGCTTCATATTCATATGAAGACTCGAATTGCACCCCTCATCGATCCTATGATCCATCAAAATGACACCTTCCCAGACCATCGCCAATATCAGCTGTTCAGGACTAATTAGTAATATTGCTTCGATTTGCTTGCAAACAGTAATAAAAGGATCAGTTCGCCACACGTTATGGAAGGACATACTGTACTGGCAGCTTAAACCTGTTCAACCAACATATATACACAACACCACTTTAACCTCTGAAACCCTTGACACACGTTACTTTTATACATTCACCTATCTCCGTGCATCATATCATCCTGCCACCACCGGAGCCATGGCCTCCTCTCCCCCCATCTCCACGATGATCTTTCCAGTGGCATGACCCTCCATGCTTTTGGCCCAGGCTGCTGCCGCTTCACTCAGTTGGTGCCTCGAGTCGACCACCGTCGTAACCTTCCCATCCCGCACCAGCTGAACCAAAAACCTCAAATCCTCCTTGTCATGCACGAAGATGAGCAGCGGCACCAGCTTCTTCTTCGCAAAGGTCAGCCTTTTCACCACTGAATGAAACCAGGTCCACGGCGTAGGAGTTAAATTGATCACCACCCCGTTAGCCGCCAGGTTTGGCTCAAAAGTGGACCAGCTGATACCCACCGTGCAGTGTATCACCACATCGTACTTCCTCCCCGAGGGGCTGCTCAAGCTCTTGCCTTCTGGAGTTTTGTAGTCCAGCACCTCATCTGCACCCAACCTCTTCACGAGATCGACGTTCCGAGCACCACAGGTGGCCGTCACATGAAGGTTACCAAGCTTCGCGAGCTGGACCGCGAAAGACCCAACCCCACTGGAGGCGGCGGTGATCAAGACATTCCCGGGCTGACCGGTGCCATCAAACTTGGTTCCACCGTCCCTCAGTGCTTGGAGAGCAGTGAGCGCTGCGATCGGTAGGCTGGCACCCTCAGCTGCTGAAACTTCAGGGGGCCTGTCCACTGTTATGTTCACCGATGCAACAGCATACTCTGCAAGTCCACCTGCATTCTGATCATACCACACACATCTCAAGTTAGAAAGATCCAGGAACTCAACATGTACTCACTAAACTTATCTATCAAGAGCAGTAAATTTGATAAAGAAGAACCAAATATCAAGAGCAACATACAAAGTATACTGGAATCTTAGTATGAACATACATAGCTTGCTTTCATAAGTTGAAGATGGGGAGTACTTCGAAAAATTACCCGAAAGTTAAGCATGGAAACCACCTTGTCACCTGGCTTGAAGCTATGTACTCCCGGACCGACCTCAACAACTTCTCCAGCTACATCGGTCACTAGTGACCAACCAATTACAGAACTTAGTTTCTATCCTCCATTAAAGAGTTTCAAGAACCAAATGCTAGATATATGCATATATGTATACATGTGATTCAGAATGCAGACTATGGTAAACATTTAAAAGTGCTTGTAGAAAGAAAATATGATTTACCAATCTGATTAGTCTCATATCGATTGCTACCAGAGCAGAAACTAAATGTACAGTAGGCTTCAAGATGAATGGACACATCACAAGTAGTTGTTACTCTGATACTGTATAGCTGACGCCCAAATGCAAAAAACTACATGAGCCAAGCTTCCAGGTAGGAGCTCTCAGATTGTGCCCATTGAGAGTGGGTAGTCACAACCGATACGAGACTTCAAAAAATAAGGATTTCTTATCTTTTTTCATGAAAAATTTAATCTTGATCAATATCTTTACCGGCCAAGCTGGCTGATATCTTAAAAAATTTGTCAAGCAAAATTTCAAACTTTACTGCATCATTACCGTATCGACACAGAAAGTCATTCTGTCAATGTTCCAAAGCTTCTACCAAAATTAGTTTATCTATTTTTATCTGTTCAGCAGCACATATTCTCTCCCTTCCCAGATAGTAGTAGTTCGCATACAACATCAAAAAAAGAAAAAAAAAATCAGAATATCCAAAAAGGAATATAGGGCTAACCAAGGTCTGTCGTACCGAAACATATCACCCATATCGGGCGGTACATTCGGTACGTACCGGTCCGACAGGTCACCGGTATGCGAACCGCCCGATACCGCTACAGTGCTACAGTACTATACTGTAACACTGCTACAGTATGGAAAAAATAAAAAATATTCGATACACCAGGGCATACCGCTCGGTACGCCCTGATGTACCGCCTGGTACAACAGTACCGTACCGTACCGAACCCAGGTCGAAACGCTCGTACGATATGGTACAGCGAACCTTGGGGCTAACAATCTATTCGGCAATCAATCAACAAGAAACCTAAATACAGCTGACAGAAAGCTAAATTAAATTCAAACCAGCCTCTTTTCATAAGGATTTCACATTAGCAGACAATTATAATGGAGAGGACACTCATTTACTTGATTTAAGCAGTAGCTTACCCGGAACAAATGGAAATTTTGGTGGCATAAGAGGTCTCATCACACCTTTTTGAATTTTCCAGTCAATTTGGTTGATGCTTGCTGCTTCCACTCTCAACAACACCTCGTCCTTTTTTGGTGAAGGAACTTGAATCTCCACATGCTGAAGCAAGAATGAATTGTAACCAAGAACCGTCGCCATAAAGTCTGAAATAATTGCTTGACCAAAGCATATATATTTATTGGCCAAAAGTTGCCCGAGCTGCTCAGAGGTGAAAGCCCCTCGACCTAAACTTTAGTCACATTGTTGTGTGTGTTCATTTAGCACAGTTAGGTTCGACATCTTCACTACGTCCATTTGACAACATAGGGTAAAATCAACAAGAAAGTAGAAGGTTTCGAGGAAAATCCTCATTCTCTTGAAATGTGTCAATGAGGGTAGTAAGCTAAAATAAGAACCATGTAAATTTTCCTTTTTAAATACTTCAGATCAACTTTGACTTTTGAACATAACATAGTATCTTCATTGAATGGTTGAAACAGGACAAACCGATTTAGTCGTGAACATGATGAAATGATTTATATTAAAGGACCTTGTTACAAACAGTCAATTTTTTCTTTTGAAGTGGTGAAGATGGGTTTTGATCTCTGGGCCTTGTTATATATATCTACAATCAAGATTTTTTCTGGCTAAGATATCTAATGTCTTAAAGATAAAAAGAAGGTAAGTGAGCAACGTGCAACACCATGACAATTATAATTCAAGCAATTAAAGATCCAACTACCATGATTTAGAGAACATTCTAAATCTTAAAAGTGGGTAATCTATGTAGTCCATTCTTTTAGCACAAGTCAGATGTCTCATCCAATTCCTTCATTCCCATAATCCCCCTAAGATTTGGAGCCAAAAGAGCGAACAGACTTTTTGATCCGAGGTCACAAGGTTGTGGCTCCAAATCAAAGCAGTAACAACAGTGGCTACAGGTGCACTGAATCCCCCCATGGATCAAAACCATGCCTCTCTTCGATTTTGTTTTATGTGGCATCTCATTCTCCAATCACATATACCAGTTCCTAAACAGAGCTCTTCCCTTACTCCATTCAATAACAACAACAACAACAATTGTCTTCACACACCAACATAACTATCAAGGACATGTTTAGTTCTCCATATAGAAAGCATACATACAACAGCTCGAGACTCGATTTCCAGTAAACTAATCCTTGATGCTGACGCTTAGATCATAATCGCTCTGTCCCACTTCCTTGTACGCTTAAACTATAAGTCTTAGGTCGAACAGAAAGTGGGCAAAGCAGAATTAAGACGAATAAGCAAAGTCAACGGGGCATATCGGGGAGTGTCATAGCACCTTGAGACCAGCGGCTCCGCCGCCGTAGCCGTCGTACTGGACGGCGTGCATGGTTCTTCCGGCCATGGCGGAGGAAGCAAAATAGAGGGCGACGGGAGGGGCAATCCCGGAACTCTGTGGCTCGACCGAAGTTTCGACGCTGCCGTCCGTCTGGTCGAATGAGTATTTGTAGCCGTCGAATTGAACAAAATGACCTAATTACCCGTATCGGATGTCCTTTTCTCGCGTCTGCCCGTCTCCGTTCGGCGGGACGTGACGTGTGACGTTGCCGACCTTACACGCTGCGTGGGCCCCACCTTTTGACACCGAAGCGAAGTCCGGAGAGTCCCAATGCGCGGATAACTTAGCCCCTCGTTTTCCAGTCACCCCGTTTCAACGACTCGATGCTCGGTCCCACTGTTTCATTATTCTACCAATCATAAGGCAGGTAACAGATGCGGGTATTCGAAGAAGAAGAGAAAAAGGCATCGGAGCTTTCTGGCGGGTTCCACACTCTTCGTTTAAAAGAAATCCCAAGGCTCCAGAACTCCTGCCCAGTGTCTTACCCTCGTGATGACAGCCAAACCAATGCGGGTCCCACAAGCGAGGGGCTCCATGTCCCTTCCCAATCATCGCTATGGGAGGCTATGCGGGTACACAAGTGACTTACACTTGCCAGAAATATCAGGAATTATACTGAATATGATTTTTTATTCTTTTAAAAAATGTCTCGTCATAAAAAATAAATCATCTTATTTTTAAAGATAATCTCTCCCAGTAAAAGTTTTATATGATCACAATTAAATGAAAAATTTTATAAGACATTTACTAATTTGGTAATTTTTATGAATTTGAATATTGAATAGTTTAAGAATAATATATAAATCAATAGAAAAGTGGAAACGAAGTTTACATCCGTCAATAATTAGGATTAAATAAATTAAATATATTTAAAATGATATAAATATATGTCAACAAAACTATTGATACTTTAGTTAGAAAAATATGAGATAAATAATATTAATAGTATAAGAAAAGTTAATACGAGAGATAAAAAAGAATTTGTAAATAATTATATATATATATATATATATATATATATATATATATATATATATATATATATATATATATATATATATATATATATATATACATCACTTGTCGCATAAGTGCCATAGAGGAAAATGTCACCCGCTTGTTTGCATAAATAGAAATCCAAAGGGCAGCTCAAGTCAATTACAAACCACCTTCCCCGTAGAATATTCATAGGAAAGAGTCCAAAAGGTAACTCGGATCAATTACAAACCGATCTTACTATGAAATCTTCATGGAATATACTATCTCTCTAAGGTAAAGTATAAAAATACACCATCAACTCAAGGTAATAGAGCGCTAAAATTGAGAACATAGATTCACAAAAGTTGATCTCAAAATTAACTTAAGTGTTGGAGGGACCGACTCGAGAAGTCTTTCTGGACTTTAGTCTTTGTATATGTGACACCTCTGGAGGAGATGCTTTCCACCTTGGATGACTCCATATATACGGATAAGGGCCACGAGCTAATAAGGACATCAATGACATTTAGCTTGGTTCATTGACGCTTCATCTGATTCTTCGGTGCATCGTCCGATCTTGCAGCCTATTGCCTAATCGGTCAATTGACTTTCGTAACTCCGATTTCCTTGATACAAATTTTCGCTCTTCTTGGCCCGATGCCCGAACCCATGGCCCAAAGCCTTCTGTTGATACGTTGACCGATCCTTTGGCTCGACGTCCAATCTTCTGATATGTTTCTCTCTAACCCAACATGATTCTTCATGTTTTTAATTGTCTCTCCCTGATCGAAGCTTCCTGCATCACTCAAAACATAAATCAAATCAAAAACACTATTAATTGGTTTCATCATCAGAATTCGAGATTCAACAACTTTCAGATTTTGTTACCTAATTCACCAATGATATCAAAGGCATAGATAATGCTTACCTATTACTCGTAGTTTAATTCTTTATAATGAGACTAAAACACTCTCGTCTCTTATCAATACACTATTATCGATGCAATAGCCTCGAGTAAACATGACGAGCCTCACAAGAGATCGAGGCAAGAGCAAACATAATCTGACCCTGCCTCAAGGTCATCATAGTGGAAGAGAAGTGAACAACCTGACTTGCCTCACCTGAGGTCTGAATTGACCCTCCTAAACCTGACCAGGACTAAAGTTTTTTTACACATAAAAGAAAAGGGTCGATTGGAAGACCCTCGACTAATGAGGACTCCATTGGAGAAAAAAGATAGATCTATATACTATTGTTTCCATCACGATACGACCATGAAATAGAGGACTATCGCAATTTAAATGAACAAACTGAAGAGCTTATATGTCGAGGGTACCTCGGATAGTTCATCCGAAGACATCAAGAGCCATCACCCTGACCTCAGAGGTCAATTGAAAGATAAATTAACATCAACATTGGTGGACCAGCCTCGCAAGGAGATAACACCTCAAGTGACAAAGCTTATGCCCAAGCCATGATTGAGAAGCACCCTAGGACTAGGGATGATTAAGAAATAACTTTTAGAGAGGGAGAGATAGAGTGCTTTGACCCGAACCATAATGATGCCTTGGTGATCTCCATGAGAATAGTCAATACCCAAGTAGAAAGGGTCATGATCGATATATGTAACTTTGTTAACATTCTTTATTTCGATGTCTTTTAAAAACTCATATTCTCGACTAACAACCTCACCCTTATGGCTTATCATTAATAAGATTTACGAGTTACTCAATCTCCCATTTTGGGACTATGAGTCTATATATCATATTCAAAGATGAGCCAAGCTCCAAAATAGTTATGACCAAGTTCATAGTGGTTGACATCCCCTCAGCATATAAGGCCATCATGGCTTGACCTACGTTGAACAGGCTATGGGTAATGGTGTCAACCTATCACATGTTGATGAACTTCTTGACCAACACTAGCGTTGGGGAACTAAGAAGCAACTCAAGGGAGTCCTACCGATACTACCTCATGACAATCTCCCTACCAAGAAGGTCTGACTTAAGGTACCACCAACGGACCCTTGAGATTCTACCAAATCCCTTCCGCACTCAGAATCGATAGAGCCACTGATTGAAACTCTCATGGACAAGGCTCATCCTGATCAAGTCATTAAGGTTGAGGCAACATTACCTAATGAGAAATGAGTACAACTTATCAAATTCCTCAGGGAAAACATTGAAGTGTTCGTATGGTTGCTAAGAGATATGTCGGGAATTGATCAATCAGTGAACTCGTTATCTAATGAGCACTTGCACTGTATTCCTTGTGTCCCCACATAAGCAACTTTGAGATCAGCCACATCTATCATATGGACGGGTATATAATACACCAGTTTATCTAGTTATCTCGATGTCCCTCTCGAGTAACTAATGATCGGGATTATTTAGGGTATGTGTTTAAAGGCGAATCGGTCTCATTATTGTGATCTCATCATAATTCGATTCTCATTACACAGATCTATGAATATCACAATATATGTATGCAACAATCAATATAAAGTGATAAAATATCATAATAATAATAAGCAAAAAGACTACATATTATGCCACATGTGTTATCACTCACATGATTGGCTTGCAAGACACTTATGACTAATAATAATATATTATACTATTTAAGACAAAACACTATCACTGGGTGGAGGAAAAGATAAAGTTTCACCTCAAAAGTAGTACACAATAAACATAAAGATCCGAGCGTCGGGTTGTATGGATGCTAGCTTGGACGAGGAGCCTGCAGCTCAAACTCAGCCTAGATGGATTATTTGTCTCATAAACACTCCAAGAGTGGATTGCTCACAACTGAGTCATAGTCATGTGAACTCTTCATGGATTCTAAATCTTGAAGAACCCTCAAAATTATAAGAGTTACCTCCCCAAATGAGGAGGAGGTTAAGACCTCTTCTACTTTGGAACTATTCGAGGATAGAGTTTGGATCTCAACCAACTAGTGACTACTAGATCGGGAGAAACCTGTCCGAGATGGAAGAGACATCCTGACTTGAGGTGCTAAAGTCGGACAATGGACAACCTAAATGTTGACTCGCCTTTAAGAGCTGGAGCTGAGGAGAAAGCTTTTGAAATATTAGATGCTCAAACAATGGAATAAACCTCACCCTGCAGGCTATGGGAGATTTATAGTTGGGGGATGATCTTTCTCCTCTTGTGAGTGACACAAGTGTCCCTTCGACATCATGTCGAAGAGATGCTAATTTCTCTCTCTCCTTCAGTACTGAGACATCAATCGAGATAGATATGAAGAAGATACAATATCTTTCTTCCACTATTGACGCACCAATTAAGGTAAATATGAAAAAGATACGGTCTCTTTCCTCTACTACTGAGGCACCAATTGAGAAAGATATGAAGAATTGATCTCTCTCCTCCCACCATAGAAGTCGATAAAGGAAAGTGAACTCTCTCCTCTTACGATAGAGCCACCCTCTATGATTAGGTCAAGCATCTCTTCGGGACCACTTCGAAAAGGTATATAAGTTATTAAAACTGGACCCGCACTAAGATAAATCCGCCATGATTGAGGCGTAAGGCCAAATGCACATGAGACGCATAAGTCAGGAAAATTCGACCCTCGTTAGAAGATTTGCTATGATGGAAGCACAAAGTCAAATGTGCTTGAGACACGTGAGTTAAGAAAACTCGACCCGCACTAGAGGATCTGTTATGCCGGAGATGTAAAGTCAAATGTGGTTGAGACATATGAGTCGAAAAAACTTGACACCCGCTAGAAGATTTGCTATGATAGAGTTGTAAAGCCAAATGCACCCAAGATGCATGAGTTGGGAAACCTCGACCCACGCTAGAAGATCTGCAGACACAAGGCCAAATATGCCCAAGACGCATGTCAAGAAAACTTGATCCGCGCTAGAAGATCCACCATGATGGAGGCATGAAGCTAAATACGACTGAGATGTGTGAGTAAAAAAAACATAACCTACGCCAAGATAAATCAACTATAGTAAAAACATAGGCCCCACATGCCCGAAATGCTTGAATCGAAAACACCTAACCCATTAGACAAGATCTTGAATGCTCTCACACTATACGAATTAAATGATATACTTCAAACCCTTCTTGCAAGAGTCTCAAAGCATGCTTAGGAGGGGAAGACAAATGATAGGAAGTACACAATCAACTAGCCATCACATCCCACATAAATACCATAGAGGAAAAGGCCCATATGACTTGCCACCCGCTTGTCTATATGGAGTGGAGTCCAAGAGGTAACTCGGGTCAGTTACCAACTGCCTCACTATGAAATATTCATAGGAATATTCTGTATCGATTATAAATTGCCTCTCGTATGGAATATTATTAGGAATATTTTATAAGAGTCTAAGAGGTAGCTCAGGTCGGTAACAAACCGCCTCCCCTATAAAATTTTTAGAATATGTCATCTTTCTAAGGTCAAGTATAAAAACACACCTTTAACTTCAGGTAATAAGGACACTAAAATCGAGAATATAAGCTCACAAAATTTGACTTCGGAGCTAACTTGAGTGTTGGGGGATCGACTCAAAAAGTCTCTTTCGATTTTGATCTTTGTACATGTGACACATCCACTTTTTACTTTGAATGACTCCGTGCATACAAATTAGAACTACGTTATGCTAACAAAGATATCAACGATATTTAATTTTAACATGATCAATTTCAATGAATTAGAACAACGTTACCATTTGTTATTTCCTACGTTTTCTCGTATATTATTTTGAGATGGAGTCAAAATCATGGGCTTATTTAATCTACAATTTCCTCGATAATATTAACGCCAATACGATAAATCACATTTATATTCAGATTTAGCCAACCACCTATTCAGAAAACAAATGATATTATCAGAATATTAGATCACCAACAGTGCGTCATTGGCTCGATTGCTGCTGACCCACGAAAGGTTGGGTCAAGTCAACAGGTCCGACTCGATTCGACCCAATTCGATCTCTATTGAGTTCATGATTATTGTGTTGGCATTGATTGATATGCGTGGAACATATTTTGAGAGAGAGAGAGAGAGAGAGAGATATATGTTGGACAAAGGAGAGAGAAAGATAAGGCTCGGCCGTTGTGTGATGTGCACGCATCACAAAGCGAAGCGGGAACTAAACGTTGTCCATGATGTATGCTACGGCGTCCTTGTAACTATTCCAGAGGCCGTCGGCTATCTTCGCCACCATCTCCGACGCGCCCTCGAGCACCTGCGGCAGCACCTCCGACATATCCTCCAGCTTGCCCTTCGTCTTCTCCACCAGCTCGGCGACGGCGGACGTGGTGAGCTGCAGCGACCCCCCCGCGGTGCTCGCGAGACCCTCGAACAAGCTGGAGGCGAGCGACACGGCCGCGTCCCTGGCGAGCTCCGTGACGCGTTCCAGCGCCGACCTGATGAGGCCGCCGGTGAACTCGACGGCGTCGTAGGAGGCCTGGCGGGGGATCTTGAAGAGCTGGACGAGGGCCACGATGAGGAGGGCTGCTCCTCGGAGGACGACGAAGCTTGCCAAGTTCGCCAGTGAGGCGATCACCCAGAACACAAACTGCAGCAGCGCGAGCGCCATGGCGATCTCGCTGTGGCTATCTTTACTTGGGAAGGAAGGAGGCAAAGGAGGATATGCTTCTTCTTGACTTGAGCAGGTCACGGCCACTGGTCTTACAACAGAAGTAGGAGAAAGGTCGTGATGGCATATAAAACTAAGGTGATCTGAATACCAACCACAAGGCCATGAAAGCTTCAACGCATGAGGATAGATTGAGCATGACGACTTTGTTGGCACAGTAGTTGAAAGCTCCAATGGAGTTAAAGAAAGGTGTGGTACTCCGAAGGAGAAGAGAACGGTGTAGAGCTCATTCTCTATGTGTGTTCCATCACCAACCAAACCTTGCTATCAGAAACATTGATTTGTCTTCTCCATGGCACACATTAAGCTAGGATGGTCTAAATCCATGGAGGTCAAGGTCTTTGCAGGTTACCTCAGAGCAATTGCCTAGAGGTTCAAGAAGGCAAGGTCGTAAAAAAGAAATCGATGTGCTTTTGATGCTATGTTGACTGAGGATGAGGCCACAAACGTATTAAACTATATGGTTGACTTGACTTTTCTTGGTTAGTTGAAATGACTTCATTCATTTTCTTTTAAATATCAAATAGTACGTAAGAAATGACGTAATACATAGATGCATCATATGTTGTTGATATGATTGATAGAACTATAATAATCGAAAAAGACATTAAGAAAATTATATCAATAATAAGACAGAAAATGAATTTGAATTTGTTAAAAAAAAAATTAAGACATGAAAAGGATTGAAGCCTAATTTTCAATATATATATATATATATATATATATATATATATATAATGATATAAAAGCAAAATACATGCTTGACTTAAAACTTTTCACTATTTTTAGTGGAGTATAATCATATATCTAATTTGCTTTCTATGTAGTGTTTGTTCTTTTAGTTTCATTCCCACCATATAATTTTTTTCCTTCAATATTACATTTTTAAGGAGACTCAATACTTGATTCAAATTAGCTCTTAAATTGTCATAAGTCGTCAATTGGTTTCTTTCGGTTCGCAATAGGTTTTGCATTAATTTGCTTTCCGTTCGTTAACCTATGCTTGATTGGAATCATAGTAACATTAGCTCATATTGGAATTCTTTTACAACGATAAAAAAGAACTTACTCAAGAAAAGAAAACTGTGTATTTTATGATCAATCTCAATATAGAGGTCTTAAAATCTTTAGATATCTCACTTTATTATATTAAACATATCTTAAATTTCATAACATATGTTGGTGAACTGATATACCGTGACTAATGAGTCAGCACAGCTTGATACACGGATCAATGTCGAAAGTCAATGGTCGATCGAATGGGTCGTCGAGGTTGATCGACCATAGGTTGGGATGCTGGCGTCAGGATGTTGGTTGATGTCTCTTGGTCGGGACGATCGTGCCTCGAGGGTGTTTGCTCTCTTGGACAAAAGGCTCTGGGCGTCGGTCGAGATGTCGGATCCACCTAGAGGAAGATGCCTCTCGATCGGGATGGTCACGCCTCGGTAGGTGACCGCTCTCCTGCACGGAAAGCCCTCGTAGGGTGATTATCGACTTTGGCCCCTCAACGAATACGTTAGTACTTGGTTCTCTGTTTTTGTCTCTCCCTTGGCCAGATGCCGACCAGAGGTTTTTATCCTATTGTATGAGGGTCGATCGTACACAAATTTGACGTGGCGTGATGTTGGTGGTGACGTGGCCAGACCCAAAATATACTTTATCACCCTAAATCCTAATCTCTTCCAAAATCGTGTCAATCTTTCTCACAACATTCGGATCTATAGTCTCAATTAATTGTGGGGCCCCACAAACCTTTCGAACACTGCCATATATTCCAAGACTTTTAGGGTTCTATTGGATCCAAATGCCACCAAAGACTCGGATCCAATCACCGACAGTATCATTAAACCCAACTCTTTCCTTAGCCTTACCGACATCATTTCTTTATTCATATTTCCTTCAAAATAATTATATATATATATATATATATATAATATTTTTATATTGTGGTTTGGTATAACGTTATCAAATTAATATTTTAAATTAAAAATTATCGAATGAAGTTTTTATATATTTGGTAAGTGAATATGATGCATCACAATCACACTAATATTTTAGGTCTAAAATTTATTAGATGACATTTCAAACTCTTAACTTGAAGTGATTGATATTGACATATACAAATGATCTAAATACATAAAGAGATATATTTAATATATAAAGTGGTTGAAAATCAAGTTGTCACTTAGCCAAAAAATTGGATCTTGGAAATTTAGGTGCATCGTTTCTCCTAATTAAAGTTGAACAAGAGAAATCAATTCCTTATCTTGAAGTAAATCTTTATAATATTTCAAGATATTATTTTTTTTATGATTTCATAGGTTTATAGAAGGTCTTTATTTATATTAGTTTTAGGTTTTAAAAATTAATTATTAACAATATGAGATAATTAAAAAATAAAAAAATAAAAAATTAATAAGACAAATAAAAATGATAAATAGTAATTTTAGTTCTGTGAGAATAGTTTACAGTAACACCACAAAAAATTACACAGATAACAAGTCTTGAGATGGGAAGATTGGCAACTTCCCTAACCTGGAGCTCCAAACCTGGGATGCATTGAGCAGGAGGGAGCTTCTTCCTTAAGGGCTGTCACTTCTGCAGCCACTGATGATTTGACAGCCCCTGTTGTAGGGATTTGCCCTTGGAGAAGCATGGCAGCTGTAGTAGGGAAGTCCAGGTTTGTTGCATGGCACCACATCCCTCCTGAGAGCCTCATAGCTGATGTACCTCTTCCCAGTGACACTCCACAGTAACCTCCTGGTCTCCTCTGAGCTCATCTCCACCTCCTCCACCCCATCCTCCATCAGGCAGCCCCCAGCTCTCCCATTGCAAGGCAGCTTCACCACCACTCTCCCTGCAGTGTTGTTGCCCAGGAGGAAGATGAGTGATGCCAAAAGGATCAGGCTCTTCTTTGAAGTGTAGCCTGAGCTGAGCTTTGCCATCCCCTTCCTCTTGGCTGAGATCTGCCTGCCTAATCTTTCTTGCTAAAAGGGAGAAGTATTTAAGGAGATGTCAGCTGTCCCATCTGCTCTGGCATTGTGGTCACACATAGAGAGAGAGAGAGAGAGAGAGAGAGAGAGCAACAACCACATCATTGGTTTGGTTCCCACTGTTAAACGACAGTGGGAGTAACATCTGTCAAGAGACAGGATTTAGTGTTAGTTGAAGGGGTACATTTAAGGGGAAGTGATCATGATGATGGTGGGAAAACTTATAAGACGAAAGGAGTCTTCATCACAGATTGCAATTGCATGTCCATGCTTTCTTCTTTTTAGTCCATATCATATGCATAAAGGTTGAGAAAATTTAGAATTTTATCACTTTGGCTTTGGTATCTTATAATAAATTCTAGCAACATATTTGAACACTGCAAAATTTTAAGATACTACTAAGAACAATAACAAAGATTTCATAATATAAAACTTGGCTTAGAATCCAGTTTTGTTCTTACAAGTGTCTAATCTTTGATAGAACTGTTTCATATGTGATGTTCAAGAAGTTTACATACGTGTATATAAATAAGCTTGCAAAAACAACAATGAGGAATCAGATATTATGAAGAAGAGAGTCTGCTACACTAAATAAGAGACTCACACCTCACTAACTCTCTAACATTAGAAAGTATCCAATGATAATGTTGCTCCTTTATGATGTAGATGATCAAGATTCGAACGTCCAACATGCTCTTCTACAGCCAGAATCAATCATCAAATTGCTCAAATCGACTGTTGTATTCTTCCATGTTACAGGCAGCATGCTTGGTTGACACCATGTTGAATCATCTACTTAGAACAACCAAAAAGCCTTTACTTTTAATGGTTTGGAACACCTTCAACTGGAAGAAAAGGCCGACATCAAATGGAGTCGATGGACCATTTTAGAGCACATGAATACCTCCACATATAGCAGGGCTTCAGCAATTTTAACTATCGAGTGAACAGAACCACACGAACAACAGCTTGAAAGAGAAGGAAAACTAACATTTTAAGTCACAAGAGTTTAAATACTTGGAAGCTCTGAGAAATGCATTTCCAGCATCGGCATCACCACAAAATCCGAGTCCATGATGGTGGTATATTAAGGTTCTTCAGCTCTTTTTCAGAACTAATGATGGATGGATTCCACTTCTCAAGCCACTAGCACTGTGACATTCACAATGTAAGACAATTTGCACATCAGGCTGAAGTCTGTATTCACCATGTAAAGCTTCCTGCTACTAAAACTTGCAAGCATGTTCATCGGAGGCTTCCATCGAGGGTCCGGTCTCCTAGGTTAAGAGTAGGTTGAGGGTTTCACACCCTGCACATAAAGGAACTGAAATTAGTATCCTTGTCAATGGTCATTCTACTATATAGTTCATGCTATAAAAACAATCATGCAATTCCATTGCGATCGTGCAACCAGCGTGTCAAGAAATAGGGTAGCAAGGTAATCAATGAGAAATGAAGTTCATGAGCACTTATATCTGATGATACACTAAAATAACTTCATGAAAAGATGCATCTACAAGTGAAGATTCAATGATGTCAAAGAAGCTCAAGTGATCACTGAAGCAGCTAGCATAATCCATGAAGAAGTGGTCAACAGGATATTTTCTAATGGAGAGCCTTCATAAAAAGCAAAAAGAACTCAGAAATAACACAGATATAAAATCTCAGACAAGTCAAGAGATTTAGGGTACATTTTAATTCACAACAGTATGTCTGAAGGAATCAACTCTTTTTGTTATGTTTTTCCATCTTAGCACACTTCCTGGAAGGCCTTCACTGTCAGTTGAATAAAATTGAGAAGAAAATTAACACATATTAAGGTTGCCATTTAGTTACCATGGATAAGAGAAGAAGACATCATGGATTTTATATGACAAATGAATCCAAATTTAGGTTCAATCTAAACATGAAACCCAAAAAGTAAAACCCACATCTGAATTAGTGAGCTTGAAGCAAGCCCAGTCGATTTCGTTATATTAGGTAGCTAGTCAATTAGATTAGATCAGGAACTTCTTCATACTAGTTTTCTTCACAATGAACTAAACTACATTCATAATTCTGGAAAGTTGCTCTTACCATCTTGTTTGATGTCCAATCTTTGACGAATCTTCAGCAGTCACATGAATAGGGATCCTACAGATTCAACATGAGATTCACTATGAGGTATAGCCCTGTTCTTATAAGTTTCTTGATTTGCTCAAGTATTTATTCTTCACTTTTTAGTTCAATTTTTTTCTTTATATATTTTTTGCTTTTAATTATTCTTTGGCAAACAATACAATGATATAATCTAGTTTCCATGCCAATATTGTTTATCCCAATATAAAATTCGATGTTTGATACTGGATTTACTCATCATCTTTCATTCCTTAACCAAACAATATTATCAGTAACTGGTGCTACAACATATATCTCATGACTTTTCACATCAGATTATATGACTGTACAACTTAGTTTATTAGCTAATATGGTGACATTAGCAACTGAACATTTTTGGTTTCAAAGGTTTCTAATATCTATAGATTAACCATTTAACACTTGATTTATAAGAATTTATTGTCTAATGTGTCCCGACATATCTGTTCCACCTTCTTGTAAAATTGAACTCTTAACAAATATTAAAATCTAATTACATGTTTGTATCCATTTATTGTGTACATCTTTTAGTGTTTACAACAGCTTTTGTGTAAGATAAAAGCAAAAGAATTTGTGTATTTGACTACTTTGCATATATATACACTTTCCCTACTTCAAATTTTTTGTATATACTATAACACTTCTTACAGCTTGTGGGTCTCCAACTTTGGTCCTTGAAATATACATGTAGCTTAATCAATTTATTTAAGCAAGCCAATCTAAGAGTGAAAGACACTGGTTGATCTATTTACTTTGAAATACTGAAAATGAAAAATGAAAAGACATGGAATACGACAAGAATTTGTGGAGTGAGATTATCTTGATGAGTCAATAGACTCAGCAGTATACAGTTTTAAGAAAGAAAGTAAAAGGAAAGTGACATTTTTCTCATCAGTACAATGCCACCAATAACAGTAGCCAACTGAACTTCTATAGCAGTCATGCTTATTTTGGAGAGGCACTCAATGAACAAATTAAAATCATGATGCTGGCAACTAGGGAACTCTTTTCAGCTCTCTCTCTCTCTCTCTCTCTCTCTCTCTCTCTCTTGGGAAAATACATAAGACAAAATGGCAAAAGAAAAAGAAAGTCTACTTTTCATTGTAAAATCATTGACCAGCCATAGATGTCATAGACTTCTCTTAGGAGAATTTTTCTTCTTTTGCCAGATAAGGTTACCTGCATCTCTGGAATCCCTCTAAATCTTTTATGCAGGTTACTATTCCTGTTCACAATAATTTTTTGTCCTAATTACAACAATTTGAGATTTAGAGTATCAAAAATGGTAATCCAACCTCAAGAATGTCATTCAATTTTAATATAAACCAAGGACAAATTAAATCCATTTACATTCCCGCTATAGAATATTACCAGAAAAGCTTGACAACAAAAATGCTAAATAGTGAAGAGTGAAGGATAAAAGAACAGCAACACAATTCACAAGTCTTTTACTCGACATTATTAAATCTATAGTTAATTGGCCACCAACGATAGAATTTCTTATTTGATGTAGCAAGAGACCTGCCCATGTCATTCAATATGTACCACAACCTATAACAATAAACCAACAAATCCTATCCCCAGTCACCATGTACCAAACTAAAGAGGTATGACCCGTACTCGCAGTAGTGCCACAACCCAAAATGTTCCATATTCTAGGTAACTGTTGACTAGGATAAAGTTTGAGTTATTATTACATGACGGTCCACAAGCACATCTAAGATGTCAAAAGAAGCTCATAGGTATGTGGAAGGAGAATAATCATGTGAACATTAACATATAATTTTTGTTACTACAGTCAAAGTTATCATAATTAATAACATAACAAAGTGAATTGTAAGTATTAGTTCTCACAGAAATGAGCCATCAGATACATCTAAATGCAAACAAAAAAAGAATAAAGAGAAACAAACAATCAAGTATACACGAACTACAATTTCAAATAAGAATGTAAACAACTTTCCATGCATAACTGAATCAGCAACATCCAGAACATATGGAAAATCCACATAATCTATTTTCTATAATCTATTTTCCAGTTATATACAATAAAGAAGATGTTCAAAGATGAACACAACTTAAACATGCATCTTCCAAAACATTCTTCCACTGTCAACTTAATGTACATCAAAGAATATCACTAGATTGTGCTTAATTTGTAGAGTATGAAGCATCTATATCATGCACACATGATACAAGAGAAGTTGATACAAGGGAAGGCTTACGCGTGACTCATGGCATCAATACAAAAGGCGCAACTCTGCTCAAGTCAAAGTTTCAGTTGCTCCATATCTTTTTTGCTTATCCCTCCATTACGACTTCCTTCCATTGTCTCCTCACCTTGCTCGTTACAAGGATTTGGCCTTAGACAGGAGCTTGCCTCTTTTGTGTCTGATGACCCTGGTCTTTCAGTTAGGAATTGTTGCCAGAATACATCATTTACTCCACCTGTAGGGATTGCTGGTGCTTCATTACAAGTAGGCGAAGCCTCCCATGAGGATACAGCTTTTGCATCAGCAGAGTCGCCAATCGTGCTTCTATCATTTCCAACTGGCAGAGTAAGATCATCATCTTTTTCCGTATTAGATGCCTTGAGATCAGTAGCATGAGCTGGTCTGAGATCTTTGATACTGACTGGACTTCGATCCACCAAATCTTGATTTTTACCAGGACACTTACTACTATCTATTTGCATCGAAGACGACGCAAGCGTCAGACTCAAATGGCATGGAAAGAGCCCATCATCAATTTCCCCGATAAACAAATCAATCTTTGTTGGACAAGCCGGTGCCTCTGTGTCACAAAGCTGTAGTGTCTCATGTACCAAAGGAGGGCATTCCATTGGCTCCTGACCACAGCCAGTTTGCTTTGGCTGCGAGCTGCCATTATCTTCGTTGGAGCTCTGAGTTCTGACCATCACCAAATTATCATCTGGAATAGCTGAGCACAACTCTAATTTTAGCTTGTCGCAAAAGTCCAAATCAAGCATGCGCCCATTCTCGGGCTTGGTGGTGCTACTATGATCATCACAAAAACTGTTTTCCGAAGTCTCCTGGCAGTAATCCACATCCAGTGGCAACCTCCTTTTCTTATGGATGTATGAGAAGTCCACTGATGAGGCTGCAGCCATCTTCACGAGATTCTCCATAAGCTGAGGGTTCTGCAAGGCCCGCTGCACGAAAGCAACCATTTTGAGCTGCCGCTGCTCCATATCTGCCAGCCTGCGCTTGAGATCCTCGATCTGAATCTCGGTCCCCGACTGCTGCTGCTCGAACTTTAAGAGACTATCCTTGAGGCCAGCTTTCTCCTTGTTGAGCCGATCGATCTCCTCCTCCAGCACAGCCCTCTCAGAGTCAGCTAAGCCACCTCCCGGTGGGTGACTGTGGCTGTGGATGGGCTTGCGGCGGCGAATGTTCGCGAGCAGGCGCTTTTGCCCCTTGACAAAGTCCTCGTTCGCGAACTCCCACCGCTCCGAATCGATCTTCCTGAATCCCTACACATCAAGATCCAATTTTGACTCCAAAACTAGGTTCATCTCCCCCAACAGAACCTCGATCCGCGAGAATAATCGAGGACAAAAAGATGCCAAACCCGATCATCACCACCGACAAAACAAGCAACCCAAAGATCACTCCAAGATTCGGATTTGACATCAAACTCCCTCGCACCGGATCAACGAAGCGAACAAAGCGAGGAAAAGGGCTAGGGCTTCGCGTCCTTACATAGGTATTGAGCTGGCGGATGAAGCTGGAGAAGTTGTTGTGCTTGAAGTAAGTCGGGAGCAGGCGGGCGGCGAAGTCGGGAGGGTTCCAGACCACGAAGCTCGCGTTGGTGGAGCTCCAGGACACGATGTCGTCGGTGGAGGCGTCGTCCACCATGTCGTACGTCTTCAGCAGGAAACGCGCCGGCCCGCCACCACCTCCGCCGTCCATCTCTCTCCCAGCCTATTCCCGTGGCTCACCGATCCACCAATGGGGTTGGGCCAGCGCGTCGGCCAAGAATTCAACGGGACGCGTTTGGTGACGGCGGCGATTCCTCTCTCTCTCTCTCTTTCTCGCTCAATCGGTTGCATGCACACCAATATAACCACCTATCTATTTCCAAATATTACAGTGGCAAACATGCTATTCTCAGCAAAAAGCCTCTCAGCCAGCATTTGTGCATTTATTTTCCAAGGCATCATTTTTAGAAAGTGAGAATTCCTCGTTGTTAGATTTCTTAAACTCTTTTTTATGAATATTAAAATTAAAATTGATAAGAGACCATTTGATCGAGGAGTGAGTTTGCTCGATGAGGTTTTGTCCTTTCGAAACATGCGAGCTCCAAAAAAAACCTATAAGGGTAAGCGAGGCTTAGTAGACTTATGAATCATTGGTTCTCATACTTCCGTAAGATTAAATAATCTTATAAAAAATATATAATAATTTAAATAAATTAATTAACATTACATATATATCGAGAAAAGAGAATAATATAGCGAAATGGTTCATCAAAATTTGAATCTACTCAGTCACATCATAATACACACTTTGCATTGCTTAGAGAAAGGCTCACACTACATGTCTTATTGCATGAAGAGAGTAAGGCAGCGACAGGTTAGAGAGACACATAGCTTATTCTTCTTTGGCTGCCTTCCTCTTCGTATCAGCCTGCAGACGGCATCTCAAACCACATAATAGAACACTACTGGAAGTGGCACATCACAGCAGGAGAACTCAATAAACTCGTGGTAGTGGTTTTTGTCGGTAGCGATTGAGCAGATATCAGGTGGATCCAAGTTTGAAACACTTGAAAACTTATTGAACCTCCGTCTCGTTTTGTGAGGGAGAAGGCGAGAATACGTAGAGCTCTGTAGCCTATCATTTTCATCACTTACCTTGTTGGAAGTTACACTGCAACTATAAGTAAGTATAATAATGTCATAGAGTTTAAATTATCACTTCCTCAAATCATAGGATGTTAAGGCTTAAAAGTATGATTTCGGAAATAAGAAATCAAGAAAAAGCTTGTCTTGAGGAGATGCCACCTGGGAATGATGATCACTTGGTCGAGGAAGAATTTCTCTTTTGAGACTAATATATTCTTATTTAATTTTAATTTCTCTTGCGAGGGCATTTGGCATTTATTATGAGTCGAAAAAGATTTATAAGTGATTTTATCAATTCAAAATAAGAATGTATCCGAAAAGACTACTTTGTATATTGTTAGTTTTATAATCCTCATTGGTTATTGAATATTAAATGGCTTAATAAGACAATAATCCACTAATATGATGTTTTGTCATTTCCGAGAGCTAACATAATCTCGACCGATAAAAATAATGATCATATAATATCTTGTCAATTATTATGGAGATAATATCGAGCTTTTAACGGATGAACTATACGATGACTTTTGGCCTCGTCTGAGATTTGTACAACACACTCATAGTGAGACGCTCAATGAAAGCAGCAGCAACCCCACACCAGGCTGTAGAGGATTCACAACCCTACTGTTTTGTGGCAGTGCCAAGAGACACTTTGGAGTTCATCAAGATGAGCAATCCTTTTCCCCACATGAGCTGCTGTCATGAGCTGGATGAAGGCAGTCTTCTCTACCCTCCTCCCATGTTTTGCCACCTTCAACATCAGCATGGTTTGGTGGCGTTCATCTCTTTGTCCTCATCTAGCAACTGGGAGATGAACAATTTAGGTGTAAGTTTCTGCAGGCTTTGTTTTAGATGACGAGAGTTGAAACAAGGAAGACAAGCCAAAGCAGTGCACAATCTAATGTCAGATGAGAACATCAGTATACAGGTATATATGATCTTTTACCAACTCAACCATCCTTGACTTCCCCTACTACATCACCATACTGATGTCGGATTTCCAATATGTTGCTAGGCATTACAATGTACAACTCTGTCTTATGATTCAAGGAACACAACCACAATGGCAAAATATTGAGAGAAACAAAGAAATGATAGGGAAAAAAAGAAGAAAATAAAAGATACTAGTTGAGTTCAATCTTCGATTACTGGATAACAATACCGGTTTCAGTAGCAAACCAAGTAGAATTAGGTTGACGCTCCATGGCAGTTTATGATGGCATCCCGAGTGAGACTGAAAGAACATCATTCGCCTCCATTGTCTACCAACAAAAAGCTGTTTACTACAGGAAACATCCCGATAGTCTTTTTTTTTTCCCTTTTTTTCCCTCAGCTCCACAATACGAATCAGAACATTGCAGAAGAAGCCCTTGGGAAGCATTTTATGACCATTTATAATTAGACTTCATTTGAAAGTGAAACCAAATGAGTCTGTTGCTGAATTGGTGTTATTGCGTTGCCACCTCTCAAGTCTTTGGGTCAGACTCATGCTCGAGTTGTCGCCATCATCTTCATCAGTACAGTTGGTGGTGGGCTTCCATTGGTCAACCAGGGGAGAAAGCTTATTGACTGCGTGGCTCATGTCAGGCCTCTGGTAGGGCTCTCGGCCCGTGCAATGCCACGCCAAGTCTGCAACTTCTGCCAGGCTCTGTTGATCTTCTTCATCGAGTTCAAGAACTTGATCAACCATGGCATTCAAAAAAGTTTTCTTTTCATGAGAAATTCCTCTGCGGAATATTGCCACCAGATGGCAATCTTCAGGGGGAAGCGATTCATCTAGTACTTTTCTTCCAGTAATTAGCTCCATTAGTATCACGCCAAATGCATAAACATCAATTTTGGTCGACACCTTCCCTGTAGCTGTTAGAACATAGAAGCTCAGGGTCAGCAAGTATCAAGGCAAAGACAAACAAATTAGTTGCTGGATCTTTATTCCGACCACAAGAATCAATATAAAATCATAGTAACTGGATTTGCAACATAGTTAATTCCTCTGCTACCTTATCTTGATATCACTTACATTCTCTCTTCCGTAATTTTGTTCCCTTTCAAAAGAGTAGCCAAACTCACATTACCTGTTTACTGATCTCTATGCCTTGCTTTCTCTAATTCATTTATAGCCCAAGCATTGATTCAAAATTTTAGGTAAAAGGAACATGATTCAGCTTACTAACAAATAGCAAACCAGAAGAGCCATGGAACATGGTTCAGCTTACTGACAAATAGCAAATAAGAAAAGCCATGGTACAAATGGCTTTAAAAAATATTAGTGTCACAAATGAAAATTAACATGTCAGCCAAAAACACTGTACTACTTTCTCATGATTGAAACCAAATTTAGGAGTCTACCAAGTGCTCATTAGATATAACAATGACTTAACGTTAGTGATTCAGTGTTAAGTCGACCATGTTTCTTGTCACACCAATTTCATAGATTTATGTGACACCCAACTTAGTCTCACATTGAAAATGTGAGGATGGTTATGAGGGTATACAGATTTTATTGGATCTACGATTATTCATTTAGATTTAAGCATATTGGGTCGAGTAATTTCAGGTTTATTAAGTCAATGGATTAGTTCTCTCATTGAAGTGGATCATGAAAATTTATATTAGAATGGATCCCTGGTAATAGGTACAGTGCAGGGCTCATGTAAAAGAAAAACTACTCTAGATAAGACTAGAAGCATATCACAAGCATGGCTTCACCACTAATATGGACCTCGTGATTGAATAGCCATGATTCTGGACTATGGGGCAAACTTGTGGCACCTCTATTTAGATTCACATTGAAGGTGGAGGATGATTATAAGGGTACATAATGCTATATGAGTCTAATACTACTAGTTCCTGATTGAACATTTTGGATCACGTGGTCCCAAGATTATCAAGTAAATGGATAAACTCTACCGTGGGTCTGGTTCATGACATTTTAACTCCATGAGACTAAGTCATTGAAATAACATCTCTTTCTAATCCCCAATCCATTTTATCCATGATCTTGTTGTCCTAATCCATCAATGCAATCAGATCTGAAAGCTGCTTTTTTCCTTCTACAAAAACCAATATAGCAGCACCAAATAAGAAAGTTGCACAAGGATCTGTGAATCTGTATGACAAAAGCACTTGAAGCTTGAGTGACTAGGGTTGAGGAATGCTTTCTGAAGGTAGCCTCAAGAGTTCTGATATATAAATATGAGCCTTCAAAATTAAGACTACATATTGCAGTAAAATATAAGACTACAAATAAACCAAAATCTCAGGACAATGGTACATCTTAAATCCAAAATGAACATGTAATATTGTCCATGGCATGTTGTGATAATTTGCTAATCTCTAGGACTGAGAATGTTGCACCGAAATATTGCACAGAAATGTGGATTGGTGAAAAGCACTAGAATCACATATTGCAGTAAATCATAAGACTACAAAGAAAACAAAATCCTCAGGACAATGTTATACCTTGAATCCAAAATTAACATATAATTTTCCCCATAATACGTTGTGATAATTTTTCTAATCTCTAGGACTGAGAATACTGCACTAAATATCTTAGGTAAATTTATTTAGCTCCCACCAGTATTTTTCTGAACACTTGTAAGAGCAAAATACTCGCAATAGGCTAACCACAGCCAACTTGACTACTTTTGAATACTCAGAACTAATTTCAGATCTGTGTTTAACTTTTAACTTCTGTTTTAATATTTAATTGGTTGCCACACACTGCAGAAAAGAATTATCACCTAACAACCCTGCTCGTGCATATCAGCCTAGCTAACAGACGATCATCTACTAAAACAATACAACTCATTCACCCACTAGAACAAAAGAAGTAAATTTTCAGAACTACACAAAACAAGCCAAGTCCCTGGTATCATTGTCTCCAAGAAAAATTAATACAGCTGCCACTTCCAACGCTTGATAATGCAATATTATGCCTTAACAGAACTACATTCTCGCCCATCAAATGGCTTCTTCTCATGCATTTACAAGCAGAGACCATAGAGTGATATAGGCACAGATACAGACCAAGAAAAACTAGTGCTGTTCAACCCTAATAGAATGACCATGTGCAGTTGTCCCTATTGATGCTGGGCCCATTTTCTCATAAGAGTTGCTCCATCGATACTTGGTCCAAATATTTTATTGTCTTCCACTCTAGAAGCTTTCAACAAATTGGTAATGCCGATCTTATATAAGATTAATAGGTTCTTATTAGAGGCATTATTCTTCATGTCAAAAAAGCAAATCAATCTCTGATCCAAGATATCAATTATTTTATTCAAATCTGATGAAACTTTGGCTCCTTAATTCTCATCAACACCTTGTCTTTAACCATGCAGAACCTTCTATTTATGATCAACTTCGAGTTTCTTAAAAGTTCAATAGTTAATGTTCACATCTTTTGCGTATGTTGTGAAACTATAAGTCCAGATACGCCCATTGGTACCTATCTTTCTTATAATAAGACTGAAATATGCACCAGACAAGGAGGGTAAAAGATGTCTCGTTGAAAGTGAGCCATAAGCCACAATTAAAATTCTTATTCCTACTACCAGATAATTGTTTGTGGAATTTGTAGTCGTGTTTCAAGTCAAGATGGCATCATTCTGCTCCTAGCATTAGTCCTATCTGGTATTCCATTTGTACACACTACACACATTATCAACCTATGCCTTTGATTTTCTACATATCCACTATTGCAATTTCCAAGACGATTAGGCTGATTTGGTGTATTTCTTCTTTGAAGTTAGAAGTCTATATGCCATAAAAGAGAAGTGTATAGGCTTCTTGCCTAAAGGTCCAAACTAGAATTTGACAAGCTTCTTAAACAATAATGTAACGGAAAAGACTGTCCAACGGTCTCCTTTATTAAACAGAACAAATTTTTAAGATACTATAACCCAACTAATACTTAATTTTATGTCCATTTTCCTGAACAAGACAATCTGTGGTACTTCAACTAATATATACTTTAATTAGTATTCTCTGAAAGAATAAGCAAAAACACACTTACTAGCATACTCAGGTGCCAGATATCCAAATGTCCCTGCTAACCGTGTCATCATTGACTTCTGATTGTCTGCAGCAAGCTTGACCAACCCAAAATCAGAAACCTTGGCTCTTAAGTCCTTGTCCAAGAGGATGTTAGAAGGCTTCAAATCTCTGTGAATGAAACTCTCCTGAGCCAAGCTATGCAAGTACTCGATCCCCCTAGCGACATCCAGTACAATTGTCAGCCGCTGCTTCCAAGTTAGTGGGGGTTCATTTCTACTCTGCCATTCAAACAAGTGCTCCCCCAGTGTACCCCCTGACATGTACTCATACACCAAAAGTCTCTCTTGGCCATCATCACAGTAGCCAAGAAGTGCGACCAAGTTCCGATGTCTGACCTTCCTAAGAACATCAATCTCTGCTTTGAACTCCTCATTCCCCTTCTTACCCATCACATCGCACTGGTTTCTCTTCACAGCAATTAGTGTTCCATTATGATCCCCTTTGTACACGACCCCAAATCCACCCCTGCCCAGGATGTTTTCTTCGCTGAAATTATTTGTGGCCTTTCGGAGGTTCTGGATCGACATGTACATGCCTTGAGCTTCGCCCACATATGCGCTTGCTCTGTCGGCACCGCTTTGAGTGTAAAGCGGGTCCAAGCCTCTGCCATTCGCATTCATTCTGTTGGATCCAATATTAATCAACTCTGGCTCATTTGGAGGGGTTCCTGTTGGAACATGTCCCAACTTTTCCTCTTGCTTTTTCTTGCGACGATGCAGAAAAAGTGCCGCCAAACAACCAACAAGAACCACCATAGCGACGACTATACCTGCAATCATGCCCCCTGCCTTAGATCCACCAAACTGTCCAGGTGAAGAACCGAACATCCCGGAAGAACTTCCATCACTTGAGCCAGAGTCGGTCCCAAGCTTGGGATTGCCCTCCAGCTTGAGTGTGACGGAGCTGGAAAAAGACGGCATCTTTCCAGAGAGGTTGTTGTTGGTGACATCCAGCACCTGGAGCTGCGGGAGCTGCGTCAAGCTGTCTGGGATCGAGCCAGTGAGGTCATTGTTGCTCAGGTGCAGCTGACGCAGCGAAGTGAAGTTGGCGAAGGCTGGGGAGATGACCCCGCCGAAGTGTTGGCTCGCAAAGTTGAGAACGGTAACGCTCTTCTGCGCGTCGCAGGTGACGCCCAGCCAGTTGGCGCCGCAGGGCTCGTTCCCCTTCCACGACTTGGCGAGCACAGCCGGGTATCCGAACCCCTCGGCGACCGCGAGCAGCGCCGTGACCCGGGGGTCACAGGGGCCGGGGGCGGCGGCGGATGTGCAGAACTGGTTACCCGTACCGACATCGAGGGTGGCGAACTTGCTGGCGAATTGCGGAAAGGGCCCCTGAAGCAGGTTATTGGAGAGGGTGGCGTTCTTGAGGGTGAGGCAGGAGGTGAGGGATGGCGGGACGACGCCGGTGAGGGCGTTGTCGCGGACGTTGAATGACTCGAGGGCGGTGACGTTGGATAGGTCCGGGATGGGCCCCGTGAAGCTGTTGGACTGGAGCCAGACCATGGTGAGCTGGGGCATGGCGCCGAGGACGTCGATGCTGCCGGAGAGCTTGTCGCGGTCCTGCTGGTTGTTGAGCAGGAGCTGCTGGATGCCGGAGCCGGCGAGAGAGGAGGGGATGGAGCCGGTGAGCTGGTTGTAGGAGAGGCGGAGAACGCGGAGGTTAAGGAGAGAGCCGAGGAAGTCGGGGAGGGTCCCCGAGAGGGAAGAGTTGGACGCGGAGAAGTCGGCGAGGCCGACGGCGGCGGAGAGGTTATGGGAGATGCTCCAGGGGGCGAGGGGGAGGTCGTCGAGGGAGATCTCCTGGAGGGCGGAGAGGCCGGCGAAGAAGGTGTCGGGGAGGGAGTCGAAGGCGTTGCCGTCGAGGAAGAGGGTCTGGAGGGAGGAGAGACTGGAGAGGAGGGGGACGGGGCCGGAGAGGCGGTTGCGATGGAGCCGTAGGGAGGAGAGGGAAGTGAGGGCGGAGAGGGAGACCGGAAGGGTTCCAGAGACGCCACGAGAGCCCAGGTTGATGCCGGAGATGCGACCAGCCGAGCAGGTAACGCCTTCCCACTCGGGGTCGCAGGGGTCGGAGCCGGACTTCCAGGAGGATGGCAACCCTGAGAGGGCGCGCGCCAGGTCCCACATGGCCTTAGCGTCCGGTGAGGAGGAGGGCGAGGCCGCACCGCATTGCCGCGCCAGATCCAACGCCACGACGAACGTGACGAACTGGACGACGGCGGCGAGGCAGAGCTTCCTCCTCTCCGCCATTGTGGTTACGCTTACATGTGAAAGATAGGTATTGTTCTCCTTCTCGATGGCGCGTCTCTGTCTCCGGTCTTCGTCTGGATTGGAGACAGAGGCGGGGGAAGGAGGAAGAGGCGGTGGGGAAGAAAGAACACAGAAAAATTCGGGCGGTGGCGAGCGAGAGAGAGAGAGAGAGAGAGAGAGAGAGGCGGGTGGTGTGCCTTTGAGGATTGCGTTGGCAAAGCGGCGTGGGGGGGCACAGCATTGGAGGGAATTCTTTTTTCTTATTTCTATATTTTTAATTTGTTTTCTGTGATAAATGGATGGTTGGGATTGATGGATGGGCCAACACGAACGGACCGATCGGATGGATATGGACCTCCTTCTGATCCCACGATAAATAGCGACTTATTCGCGACCTTGTGTTCGTTCCCCGTCTTGACCAAGGCATGCAACAGGGTCCCCCAACTCACCCACCGGGCCCCACCTGTCCAAACGAAGCTGGGATCGCGTCTCGTGACGTCAGCTTCGCGGGGCCTCCTCTCCGCGCGCAACGGCTATCCAAGGCTTATCCAGTGGAAGGTGGACCACCCCACGACAGCGGAAGGCTGTCTGACGCCCAACAGGCGATCAAAACAAACAGCCCGCCGCGGCTATCTAATCCGAGTGCCGGTCGAAGTCTCGGCCCGCTCCTCATTGGTTCAATCGACGGTTCAATTAATCGAACCACAAAATTAATAATTTTTGAAGACATAAAAATAATTGTACGTTATATTTAAATTGAGTAATTTCAATTTTATTATTAGAAAAGTTTAAATACTCGAGAGAAAATCCTTAATATATTTGATAATAAATAAAACACAGAGTTGGTGAAGGAGAGACTGCCTTCAATGCAAAGAAATCAGAAAAGCTGAGCATGCAGGAGAAAGCCTGCCTGCAGTGACTCAACTGGAAACAAAAGTGATGATTCCTTCAAAGGCATACAGAACCCATGTCGAGTTTCTAAGCTCACCTAATCCTTTTAGCAACCCTTCATATCACATGGGATTGGTTGATTTGTGAGTAAGGTTGGCAAAGTAGTCCTAACTTTTATTCTTTTTATAAAGTGCTTTTTTCCCCTAAATATGTACCCTCCCAAAGTTTGAAAATGGTAATATAATTGACTTGATTAACATATAACAACTTTAAATGCTTAAATATTTTAGATATTTTTACCCGAGAAAATAATTAATATTAATTATTTATATATAATATAATATCAAATTTATCAATTTTATTTGATCCAAACCACTAATTAATCTTTCCCACACTTTACGTCGTGACGAGTCCTCCGACTTCGAAATCCTTTTCTACTAAATTTTCTCATAATATTTAAATATTAAATTAATTTTAATATTAAATATTAGATTCAGTGAATTACTATTTTCGTATATATATATATATATATATAAGAGGTAAACAGGTGATCAGCTGCTTGGCATTTGAGTGCAAAAAGCACATGACACGTGATAAGCATTAGCTGATTCAGAGCATATTCCAGAAACGAACACGTTGCATGGCCGCGCCCACTTCGCACGAATATTTTAGCGTCGCTTTATTAAAGCTTGCAGACTTCCACCTCTTCGAATTTTGCTTTAATTAACATCTTTCCACCGTCCACAACGATCAAATCGAGCTCGCATTGTCGTTCTGATTCAGCCGCAGTGATCCTAATTTGGTCCGACCAATCCACGACACAATAGACCTCAAAGTAGAACTGACACGTAGCAGAAGAAATCTTACAATAGCAAGTTTAACAGAGTTTCCCGTTCATTAATAGTATCTCAGTTACAGATGCATAGACAACACAGATCGAGAAGAAGGGACTTGAGATATGCTCTCATGTCCATCACTACTACACTTAAGTAGGTAGGCACGGTAAGCTCGAAGCTCCAGCTCTCAAGCACCGCTCTCGATGCTCATGGGCTGCGCCTCTTGCTTTGGCAGTCCCACAGTGTTTGCTTTCTGCAATTAGAGATGTGTTCAATTGATCAATCACTTTGCACATGCAACAAAGGAGGGTTTAGTGTGAGAGAGAGGAACGCAGATCACTCACATTTGCTTCCATTTGTTCCAGTTTACTCAGCTTGGCAAAAATGTTGCTGTAGAATTTGGCGTCTTTCTTGTTGTACTCTTTCACCTTCTCCTTCAGGATTTTGTACTCCATCTTCACGTCTCTGAGTACCAGGAACCAGAAATGTTGTTGATTACATGAGCTACAACCTGTCGCTCATCGAACAAGTGAGACAGACATACCTGTTGTCAGGGTCTATTTCAAGTGCTTTCTTGATGTCCTGCTCTGCCAAATCCAGATCACAGAGATGCATGTAGGCCTGGGCCCTCCGGTACAAAGCCTTCACGTTTGTGCTGTCAATATCCAGCACCTGAATTTTATCCATTCATTGACGCAAGATCAGCTCATTCTTGGTGGCAGGCTGCCAAAATGAGGAGAACTCAACACAGTTACAAAACTATTTCCTACCTTTGTGCAAAGCTTCTCTGCCTGTTTGTAGTCCTTCAGCTTGAGTTTGCAGGCAGCATTGTTGAGGTTGCAGGTCACTTTTAGCACCTTGGATTGTTTCTTCTCCTCATCACTGAATGAGCTGTCATACTCTATGTATTTAGCAGCCTGTGCCCCAGTCAGAAATTTTCAGTATGTTCATCATATGCATAGCTAATCAATAATGCTTAGTAATTTTTACAGCATTTCACATAACAATTTGATGCTAACAGGTGATTTACCTTTTCATATCTCTTGGAGGCCCTGGCATGCTTGCCTAGTTTGAATAATGCATTGCCTTCTTCTTTCTTCTTCCCAGCTGCTTCAATTTTCTCTGCAGTATTCAGGTCCCATGATTCTTTTTCCTGAAGGTACAAGAGAGAAGCTCTATTAGTTTTGGATGACAAGTCCAATAAGAAACTGTAGAAGGTGAGCGAAGCCAAGGAACACCAACCAACCTTTACAAAGGATACAAGCTCGATCTCATAGTGAACAGTCGAATTTGGAGGAACCACAGCAAGATCCTGCTTTGACTCCACACGGTTGAACGCATGCTCAGGTGGAATTGTGACATAGGCAATTTCTCCTTTCTTCATTGACATCACGGCTTGATCTAATCCTTCAATTACTTGCTCTGTTTACCACAGCCAACACCTGATTTGTTAGCATCCTCCGACAGCTATACACAAACATTCTTCTTCGACTATCGGAACAAAATGCATTACCTTCATCCGTCTTGAACTCGAATGGCTCATCACCATCATGTCCCTTCTTCACAAAGACAGTTCCATCATCCAGTTTTCCGATCAATTTAACTGTTAATATCAAAATTGAAGCTTTGAGTTAAGACAACCGGGAAATCTTCTAGCACAACCAGCATAACATGTGACAGAAAAATCTCACCTTTGACGACGGCACCATCATTTGGGCGTTCATAGCCTTCTCCCTCTTTGAGAATCTTCTTGATGATCTTCTTATCATTACCAATTTCTGTCACGGTTTTCCAAGACACCAGTTCTAGATCGATATGAAGAGTTGCACTTGGAGGAACGGCACCTTCATCACCAGAAGCTTGCCTCCCGTCTTCACCAAAGGCATCTGCAACCAGAAGTGACACCATCGTTAGCATGTGGCCTCATCAATGTAGGTATAGGGTAAAAGATTCTCTTTGTCTTCTTAGGTTCAATACTCACATTGTGGCATTACTGTGAGTAGAACCTTTTCACCCTTCTTCATAGTCTTCACAGCTTTTGACAGTGCAGGGCAGAAATATCCTGGTCCAAGAAACACCTATATGTGAGATCAAACTCAGCAACGAAGTAGAAAATCGAGATTAAGAGAAGAACGTATACTGACCATCTCTCAAAGTGAACTCTACTCCTTCGGATTTGGAGACCACGGTTCCATCTTCAAGCCTTGCCTCATACCTCACTGCATGAATATAGAGAATCATAATTAGAAGATCCTGTAGGAAGTATGACAACAACAACAACAACAAGCAGCCTCCAAGAAAGCAAGTATACCTAGAACTTCATCTCGGTCCTTCGGATTGTCCCATTTGTCTCCATCAGTCAATATTTTCTTGAAGATACCTCCATCTTTGCATATGTCTTTCACACTGGTCCAGGAGAGCAGCTCAACGTCGAACTGAAGAGTTGCATTGGGAGGAATAGTGGGAGGGGAGCCAGAGGCACCATAAGCCAGCTCCGGTGGAATGGTGAAGATGGCGTTCTCTCCCTTTTTCATTGTCTTAATACCTTCATCCCATCCCTTGATCACTTGGCCTGAAATAAGGAAGAGAGTAGTAAGATCACCATTCATTGATCGTTCTGCTTGCACAGATCAAGCAAGAGAAAGCAGTTGTTGTGCATATCTTGTCCTACATCATTTATCTTCACGAAATCACAGAGGATGTAGCATAAACTTAGAAATTAAGCGGAGCAATTCAATTATTGCCATCAATCTTATTATGTAGTGAGCATTAATTACAATAACAGGTAACTTCTAAAGTATACCCACTCAAATCCGCTATAAATCTCAGAAAAAGAGGATAAGAATTCATCACCTTGGCCAAGATTGAACCTGAAAGGAGTCCCGCGATCACGGCTGGAATCGAACTTAGACCCGTCAAGCAAAGTTCCCGTGTAATGCACTGCGCCAAAGCTCAAACTTTAGCACGAATAACACTAAACTGCAACCACCGAAAGGCCGCAAAGATGGAGGTCTTTCTTTACCTTCGACCTCGTCGCCAGCCTCGGGGTGGTCCCATCCCTCCCCTTCCTTGACGAGCTTCTTCCTAAGCCCCTGCTTCCCGATCTCCTTCTCCTCTCCGACCTTGAGAGTCGGGTTGTCGTCATCGAGATCCATGGGGTCCTCATCCATCGTCTCCTCGCCCACCGGGAGGTCGAAGTCATCATCCATCTCTACGGCTCAAGAAGACACCAAACGCTATTGTACAGAGAGAAAGAAAGGAAATGCGGCAAAGCCGAGATGCCCACAACGTGTTCGAGATCGAGGCTGCGAGCGCAACGCGATGGGAGAAGTGAGAGGGAGGAGGGGTTTAAATAGGGCGGGCAATCGCGTTCTGGAGAGTTCCCGGGAAGAAGATAATTAAAGCAAGGATGCTTCTAGAGAGGCTCCGGCCTTCTTCCAAGCGCTTAGATTGACACGTGGTATCGTTCTAGACAATTCTCTTCTAACTGTTACTAATTAGAATTATTATGACTCATATGCATCTTAATCCTATTTTCTAATGTTTGACA